GTATTTGAGTTCAACATGTAAGAAGTAGAAAGTACAGGTATTTGGGTTCAACATGTAAGAAGTAGAAAGTACAGGTATTTGAGTTCAACATGTAAGAAGTAGAAAGTACAGGTATTAGTGTTCAACATGTAAGAAGTAGAAAGTACAGGTATTTGAGTTCAAAGTGTAAGAAGTAGAAAGTACAGGTATTTGGGTTCAACATGTAAGAAATAGAAAGTACAGGTATTTGAGTTCAACATGTAAGAAGTAGAAAGTACAGGTATTTGAGTTCAACATGTAAGAAGTAGAAAGTACAGGTATTTGAGTTCAACATGTAAGAAGTAGAAAGTACAGGTATTAGTGTTCAACATGTAAGAAGTAGAAAGTACAGGTATTTGAGTTCAAAGTGTAAGAAGTAGAAAGTACAGGTATTTGGGTTCAACATGTAAGAAATAGAAAGTACAGGTATTTGAGTTCAACATGTAAGAAGTAGAAAGTACAGGTATTTTAGTTCAACATGTAAGAAGTAGAAAGTACAGGTATTTGTGTTCAAAGTGTAAGAAGTAGAAAGTACAGGTATTTGGGTTCAAAATGTAAGAAGTAGAAAGTACAGGTATTTGTGTTCAAAGTGTAAGAAGTAGAAAGTACAGGTATTTGGGTTCAAAATGTAAGAAGTAGAAAGTACAGGTATTTGAGTTCAAGATGTAAGAAGTAGAAAGTACAGGTATTTGAGTTCAACATGTAAGAAGTAGAAAGTACAGGTATTTGGGTTCAAAATGTAAGAAGTAGAAAGTACAGGTATTTGAGTTCAACATGTAAGAAGTAGAAAGTACAGGTATTAGTGTTCAACATGTAAGAAGTAGAAAGTACAGGTATTTGTGTTCAAAGTGTAAGAAGTAGAAAGTACAGGTATTAGTGTTCAACATGTAAGAAGTAGAAAGTACAGGTATTTGGGTTCAACATGTAAGAAGTAGAAAGTACAGGTATTTGTGTTCAAAGTGTAAGAAGTAGAAAGTACAGGTATTAGTGTTCAACATGTAAGAAGTAGAAAGTACAGGTATTTGGGTTCAACATGTGAGAAGTAGAAAGTTCAGGTATTTGGGTTCAAAATGTAAGAAGTAGAAAGTACAGGTATTTGAGTTCAACATGTAAGAAGTAGAAAGTACAGGTATTTGTGTTCAACATGTAAGAAGTAGAAAGTACAGGTATTTGTGTTCAAAGTGTAAGAAGTAGAAAGTACAGGTATTAGTGTTCAACATGTAAGAAGTAGAAAATACAGGTATTTGGGTTCAAAATGTAAGAAGTAGAAAGTACAGGTATTTGAGTTCAACATGTAAGAAGTAGAAAGTACAGGTATTTGAGTTCAACATGTAAGAAGTAGAAAGTACAGGTATTTGTGTTCAACATGTAAGAAGTAGAAAGTACAGGTATTTGTGTTCAAAGTGTAAGAAGTAGAAGTACAGGTATTTGTGTTCAACATGTAAGAAGTAGGAAGTACAGGTATTTGTGTTCAACATGTAAGAAGTAGAAAGTACAGGTATTTGGGTTCAACATGTAAGAAGTAGAAAGTACAGGTATTTGTGTTCAAACATGTAAGAAGTAGAAAGTACAGGTATTTGAGTTCAACATGTAAGAAGTAGAAAGTACAGGTATTTGAGTTCAACATGTGAGAAGTAGAAAGTACAGGTATTTGTGTTCAAAGTGTAAGAAGTAGAAAGTACAGGTATTTGTGTTCAACATGTAAGAAGTAGAAAGTACAGGTATTTGTGTTCAAAGTGTAAGAAGTAGAAAGTACAGGTATTTGTGTTCAAAGTGTAAGAAGTAGAAAGTACAGGTATTTGTGTTCAACATGTAAGAAGTAGAAAGTACAGGTATTTGTGTTCAACATGTAAGAAGTAGAAAGTACAGGTATTTGTGTTCAACATGCAAGAAGTAGAAAGTACAGGTATTTGTGTTCAACATGTAAGAAGTAGAAAGTACAGGTATTTGTGTTCAACATGTAAGAAGTAGAAAGTACAGGTATTTGGGTTCAACATGTAAGAAGTAGAAAGTACAGGTATTTGTGTTCAACATGTAAGAAGTAGAAAGTACAGCTATTTGTGTTCAACATGTAAGAAGTAGAAAGTACAGGTATTTGTGTTCAACATGTGAGAAGTAGAAAGTACAGGTATTTGTGTTCAACATGTAAGAAGTAGAAAGTACAGGTATTTGGGTTCAACATGTGAGAAGTAGAAAGTACAGGTATTTGGGTTCAACATGTAAGAAGTAGAAAGTACAGGTATTTGAGTTCAACATGTGAGAAGTAGAAAGTACAGGTATTTGAGTTCAACATGTAAGAAGTAGAAAGTACAGGTATTTGGGTTCAACATGTAAGAAGTAGAAAGTACAGGTATTTGAGTTCAACATGTGAGAAGTAGAAAGTACAGGTATTTGTGTTCAACATGTAAGAAGTAGAAAGTACAGGTATTTGTGTTCAACATGTAAGAAGTAGAAAGTACAGTTATTTGAGTTCAACATGTAAGACGTAGAAAGTACAGGTATTTGAGTTCAACATGTAAGAAGTAGAAAGTACAGGTATTTGGGTTCAACATGTAAGAAGTAGAAAGTTCAGGTATTTGTGTTCAAAATGTAAGAAGTCAAAGTAAAAAGTTGTCAGAAAAATAAGTAGTGGAGTAGTACTGATACCAGAAAAATGTATACTAAGTACAGTAACGAAGTATTTGTACTCCACTACTTCCCACCTCTATAAAGGACAAGCAGGAAACAAAGAGGCTTCTGGGAAAGCAGGTGTGTCTGAGAGCTTCCTCCACTCCTGCTAAGTGCTAGAACATTACTGAGCTGATAAATAACACACAAAATGACTTCAGGCTCCTCCGAAGTATGATGTAATCTGCTGCTTAAAGGGACAGACTGTGGTCCAAATATATATACAATGCACAGATTAAAACCTTTAATTTGGTCTCAAATCCACATACAGTACAGGTCCCTCTTGACACAGGGAACTCTAAATATTTAACAATACAGTAAGTTAGTTGTTTTCTCATGGTGTTAAAGATATGATATGCAACATCTCAACACTAGAATATCAAAGAAATGACAAAATCTGTGTTTTATATATTTTTTATTTGTGAGCATTATTCATCCTATATATTCAAACCATTTACGACCCTAGAGAAAGCGGTCATTTTAATATAGGTGAAGGTGCATTTAATTTGGTCGTTATAGTGTTGCCCGCCTTTTTGCATACGTCATCATTTTTGGTCATAAATGCACTTTTTTAACTGTATGATTTTAACCAATGAAGGATCATAGTGACAGAACGCCTGGATCTTAAGTCATATCAACAGACATTTTGACAGGAATTAATATAAAGTGAGACACACATACACTTTCCCCCCAAACTACAGCCTCTGAAGAGATCAAACATATACAAAATGCACTGCAGCTGTAACGACTCAGCAGGTAAACAGCTTTGAAGGTGTGTCTTTCTCAGAGAGGGGAGGGTCAGGTAAAAAGTTCACGTTTTTACCTGCAGTCAAAGTCTGAAAACCAAGCCGGCGGATACAAAAATCAAAATTATCGGGGGCAGAGCATCGAGGTGGCAGGCAGAATAAGAAGTAGACGATCTGACAGAGAGGGGATGGTGGTGGAGGCTGCAGGAGTGACAGGTGTGAAGGTGAGGTGATGAGGATGAAGAGGACAGGAGTTAAACTGCAGGGCAGGAAGGAGGGGTCGCTTCTGAAGTAAACGGATCATTAGGAAGTAGAACACAACGCAGGCTGAGCTATCGTTAGCATGCATCGTGCTTTACAGGAGGAGCTCTGCAGTGATAATGGGAAGAGAGCTGAATGCTTGGGTAACTAATTGTGATCATTTTAATGAGTTTGCAATCACGATTATTCATGATTTTACATCGATTTAAACATTTTTAAACCATCAATCACGTTGCCTTGCCATATCATTATTATCATTATCAAATATATTTAAATAATCATTTGTTTCTTGCACCTTTGTAGTGATTAGGAACGAAAGACCATCAAGTTATCCTCACATTCAGTCACAATGTAACTTGGGGAAATACAGTAAGTAATGTTGATGGGGCCAAAATAAAGACTAATGCAGATAGTTAGTGTTACTCATCCTGTGAAATCAGCTCCATGACGTCTTCTGTGTCTCTAGAGGAGCTCATAAAATGACGGCATCAAGTTGACCGGTAAGATGATATGTATTGCATTATGGGAAATGTTGCAAGTGCGGCAGTCTTATAAAGGACGGTGAAACATTATCTATTTTGTGAACTCTGTATTTAACACAACGGATGATTTTTCAGTTTGTTTTTTGAGTGTTTACGACTCTCCTATGCACACTTCAGTCAGGAGGGACGGTTTTGATGTAAGGACACATATTTATTGCAGAGATACACAAATGAATGTAATGGAGTTTTGGCGATTAGGCCCCGTTGTGCAGGAAGTATCATTCGGGAGGGGAGAACCGATCCGATGAAATCCCCCTGGGTCTAGACCCTGGTGGTGGTGAATGGATAGTTGGTCGGTCTGAAGAGGAGTGGTTTAGCTTGACCCTGGATTCAGAGGGACGGGAGGTGAAAGGGGGGGAGGAGGGTTGTGTCGAGTCACCTGAAATGACAGCTGTCAGAGGGGGGAGAGCAGATTTAAAAGGTTTGGCAGAGCGCTATGATAGGCTCTTGGGAATAGAGCGAAGTGATTGGTTAAGCTGGAGAGAGAGGAGAGAGAGAGTAGTTACATGGAAATAGTAAATTAATGAGTAAAGACGGTCTTCCTGGTTGAACTTATGCTGAGCTTCATTTGTTGAACAATGCATGATACAACTTTGAGCAACGATTAGAGTTAATTCCCCTTAATGAAAGGCATTAAATAAAAGGCTCTAGTTGACATGTAAAATGTGTAAGAATAGCTAAGAAAGACAAGTTAAAGGAGGGTATAGAATTCAGATTGCTCTGAATCGTCTCGATAACCTTCGACACAAGGAGAACCACAGCAGCGTTAATCTTAAAATGTTTATTTTAATAAGGTGCTGGAAATATTCAACAGTCACATTTGTTCTTTTTCCTTTTTCACAGAACAAGGACATTTATAACCACAGAGAGAGAGAGTGCTGCAAGACACAAGTACATGACCTTTAACAATATATACAGATAAAAGAGTCACAGTGTGGTAGAGAGAGGGGGGGGGGGGGCTGAACGCACAGCACTAGGCAATTAAGGCAACATGTCAAAAAAGGTACAAAGACAACCTTTTTCTGTACAAGGAGAGTAAAAAATAGAAAACAAGCACCAGGGAAGACGTTAAGGACCCGAGGGACACACGGCAAACACGTCCTATAGCTGCTGAACGAGACAAAGACAGACTATGGACATGTTAGAGAGTCCGTTTTGAATTCGCCTTCATGTGTTTCTTTGTGGTTTCGTCTGGAACTGGTTTTTGTCACCGCTCCAGTTTTGTCAGTCGAGGAATCCAAGAAAAAAGCGACTTCCTTTCCCCCTTCAGGTTTCGTCGTCCGTCGACTCTCATCGGAGACACCTGCTGGTGCTTTGGAGGAGGAGGAGGAGCAGCTCGGCAATTACGACGTAATCCTCACGCCTGTTTAATAAAGTGATTTCCTTTAGGATTAAATCGTCACCAAACATCCAGTTTCAGCGACTGTGTTAGTGTTGAGACATTTCCAATAAATACTGGCAAGATACTGAGTAAAACGTTTAAAAAGACCGTTAAAAAAAGTTTTAAAAGCAAATCTCCCCAACAATTGACACGATTATTCATAATAATCAGTTCAGAATATTTCTCCTTTCCTTGGCCAGCATCCAGTCATGAATTTGGTAAATCATTTTTGCATAATATTCATCTAGAGAGGGCCATACAACATGATACAAGTACCTGCCTCTCAATGACAGTCTCAGAGGTTTGGAGCAGCACTAAAACAGCAGGAGGGCGCCCGTTTAGCCCCGACTCAGCACAAATCCAGGCCTGCTGATTGGCTGATGAAGCTTTACTTCCTCGTTAGGGGTCGACACTCGATGCTGATCTGGAGTCAGAAGCTTGTTGTGTTTGTCAGCGTCAAGTGGCTCGAAAACACGATGAAAGAAATATGACATGATGTGTAAACAACGGGCTCTAACAGTCCGTCGTGCTGTGCCTGTTAGGAAATGATGTGTTAAACAGTCACATGGCATCGAGACGTAAAAGAGTAAACAATCCATCACCACTGTTAGCAATATACATTTACGTCCTAAAATCTAAAATAAGAGTGTGGGGGTTTCCACTTTCCCTTCGCCTCCTCTTTGTGCAAGATTAATTATTTAGTCCTTAAGTGTTTGTTTGTTTGTTGTTGTTGTCCTCAGCAGTGTCACACGGAGACGAAGACGTCCAGGTAGAGGCGGTCGTACGACTCCCTGAAGAAGAGGATGAGGACGAGGCTGAAGAGACACGAGCCGGTCAGACACCAGTTCAACCACGACAGGTCTGAGGAGAGGAGAGAGAGAGAGAGAGAGAGAGAGAAGAGAGAGAGAGAGAGGCAGAGAGAGAGAGAGAGAGAGAGAGAGAGGAGAGAGAGAGAGAGAGAGAGAGAGAGAGAGAGAGAGAGAGAGAGAGAGAGAGAGAGAGAGAGAGAGAGAGAGAGAGATGTGGGGTTAGATTTTAAGGTCAGGGGTATCAAACTCAAATACACAGTGGGCCAAAACTGGTCGATTATGGCAAAAATGATAATCTCGATTATTTGGGTCAATAATTGATATCACGATCATTAAAAACGATGATCCATTTACTTTGAAAACATCCATTTATTAAAAAAAAATGTAACAGTATGTTTTTAACAGTTGACTACCCTGAACTTTAAATATAATTCAACTGAAAAAATTAATTTAAAAAAAAATTAATAATAAAAAAATAATCGTTTTATTTCGATTACGTTGATTTCGTAATCGTTGCAAGACATAATCGTAATTGCGATTAAAATACGATTAATTGAGCAGCCCTAGTTCAATGTTTATTGCAGAACTTATTGAAATGAACTTATTGCACATATTAAACCTGGAACTAACAAAGCTTCAATTATTGCCTATAAAAACAACATTAAACATTAAATAATCAGCTGCATTCATTTCTTACGGCTCTATCTGCAGCTTTTCCAGAGTCATTTCTTATGAGTACATTTTCCCACAGGCCAACAACAGCTTCAACAAAACTATTCCCCTCAGAGAGAAAACCAAACATGCCCTGTTGTCCTGAGAGAGAGTGCAGAAGGAAACATCCATTGAACTCAGTGTGCTGCTCTGTGATGCTAGCTCAGATACGTGGCATCTCATCTTGGGAGCAAGGTCATCAATGTTTGGGCTCAGGCTCTGAGCTGAGGAGACCCTCAGGATGGAGTGAAGGTGTGCGTGCAATATACCGGAGGGCCAGATCTAACAGGAATTAGAGATTATCCTGCGGGCCGAAATTAAATCCACCACTTGAGTTTGACACATATTGTGAGGGCAGGTATGTTTCAGTATCCTGCTGAAAAACACTTCAGCAGGTCAACATTTCAATATTGGGTTTTTTGGGGGAAATCCTGCATAGCATACCAGTATACCTTTAAAGTGCACGCTACAGTAGTGCAGAGTATTATGTAAATAAACAAAATATCTAATACTCAAACATGTGCATAAGATTCAGCTCACTTCAGTGTTAACAGACATATAGAACACAATGAATTATTCAGCCGGTGAAATCATAGATACGTTCATGTACAATAACTTAGAGAAACCTAATGAGAGTTACTATGAAGTGACATTGAATAATGTATGAGCATCACATAGGACTGATGGACAATCAATCCCTGGCATACCATGTAGTAAATAAGCACCGCCTCACAAGCCGTCTTTCATAGCGATTCTGAATAATTCAATGCTATCGGCCGTGTTCCTCATTTTCATTGACCTACTCTTGAACCAAAGCATGGTGCAGAATGAGCTGTTCTGTTTTCTCAGCTCTGTTCAGGCTCCATTAAACACAGGAGAGCTTCTCTGGCTGCAGTAATGCTGAGTCTGGGTGGCATCTCAACTCATCAGCACACAGACAAATACGCTAATCTACCTATTTATATGAATAGTTTTCACCGCAATAAACCGTATTCCTTTGGAATCGACTTCCATTTCCTTTCAGATCCGCAAAGCTATTTCCGTTGACTCCTTTAAAAGCAAACTCAAACCAATCTCTTTGCATCTGTCTTCCTTGTCAACTAATTTCCATCACCTATATTTCAAATTCTGTTCTTGTACATATCATATTTTATTTACATGTATATAGACTTCTTGCACTATTTTGTATTTTTGAATTGTATTATATATGTTGCATTGTTGGAGGAGCTCAGGTCAGAATAATTTAATTGCGTTTTCTACACTGTAGCATATGACAATAAAACCTTTGAAATCGTGAAAGCTCTTCTTGTTCAGCCTGTGTTTCCCTATGCACCGACATCTCTCTCTGGACAGAAACAAACTCCAATCAATAGGCATTCTTCTTCTCTCAAATGCATTAAGTGTCTCTCGCAGTGCAGCACTCGCAGGTGTCTGAGGTGTTTGGGTCCTGACAGAGAAGTTAAGCAGAATCTACGGTGTGCGGCGAGGGCCAAACTTCTCAGCCACGACGGACATTGACAGCCGGCAGCTGCTCGATAACGAGGCCGACTACATTCAGAGGAATCAGGTGGTAACACTCTGCAGGCACTATGTACACCTTTGTTCAACAGAAGATAATAAATCATAAATACTACAGAGTACACGACAAAGACAACGGCATATTCACACATGACTTACACTACCTGCACATCCCTGTATACGTATAATATATACTTGTATAGATTGATTGTTGTGTTTTTATCTTAATGTGTGCATGTGTAGAAATGTGTATGTTGATTGTGTATATATATATAGGATATACATATTTTATACATATTTGTATTCAGGATTGAGGGAAACGGTATTTTGATCTCTCTGTATGTACACACAAATTGAAACATTGACAATAAAGTTGACTTTGACTTGTACACAGACAACTTATGGCCATCGCCGACACTTAAAGGTCTCCTATTATACTATTTTTAGGCATATATTATAGGTCTCAGATATATAAAAACATGTCTATGAAGTGTTTTGCTCAAAATACCAAACAGATCACCCATTCTAGCCTCATATCCCTCTATTTCAGCCCTGTTACTAAAGTGCTGATTCTGGGTATAAAGCTTTAAAATAAATGCTGCCGGGATTAAACAGCATATGTTCGAAACCACATCAAGGATTATTTCTGAAACAGTTTGGAGCTCAAAGGCTTTCTCTCTTGCGGGTTTAACACAAGGCGAGTTCCTTTTTGTATTTCCTGCTTCTTCACACACATGCTCTCCAGTACAGGTTAGCTCTGAGTGTTAGCGATGCTAATGTAAACACTAGGGGTGTAACGGTTCACAAACATTTCGGTTCGGTACGTACCTCGGTTTTTAGGTCACGGTTCGGTTCGGTACGTTTTCGGTACAGCAGAAAAAATTATCACAAAACATATTTAAAAAAAAATTATTATTAAACTGTGAATAATGTATTCACTCGAATAAATACAAAATATAATAAAATAAACATTAAGGTGCAGCATTTCGATGAACTGAAATAATCTGTATTTGAACTTTACTGTACTAGTACTCACAAAACATAAACTATTAGTTTTGGGTTTTTAATTATTATTAAACTGAATATTCACTCAAATAAATACAAAATATAATAAAATAAACATTAAGGTGCAGCTTTTCGATGAACTGAAATAATCTGTATTTGAACTGTACTGTACCTAAGCAGCCAGTTTGACATTAGGACTTGCTTGTCATTGTATTTTCATGTTTTTTAAAGAAAGATGAACTTGTCCACATTGCTTGCTGAAAGGGCAGATCTGCTGGCACTAACAATGTCTCCTTCTGTGGAGAAAACCCTCTCTAGGGACAGAGATAGCAGATACAGCCAGGTAGCGCTTTGCTACCATGGCAACATAAGGATATTTGGCGTTTGTAATAGCTTTGGCTCGGTCTGAACTCTTTGCGATTGGTGGAGGCTTAAATGCTAGCGGGAGTTGGGTTTGCACTTCAATCTTTTGGTACTGGTGATATTCACGTTCGGGTGATGCCTTTTCAAGTGAGTGTGCAAGTTTGATGTATTGCCAGCGTAACCAATGTTAGTTGAACAATGCCGACAAACAGCTTTGGTTCGGTCCACCTGTCTTTGTCCGTCATCCTTGTACGTAACTGCGAAACCAAAATGTTCCCAAACCGGAGACTTCAATGATGCTGGAGGATTTTCAGCTCAACTTTATCTGCATTCGCCATTTCCACTGTTCCTCAAATTACTGACTAAATTTGAACGCATCCCTCTGACCAGTTCTCATAGTATGCTTCTCGTCCAATGAAATGACTTGGTCGCTCTATGACGCGTTGAACGCAATGTGAGCAAATTACTGTGAATGCTCTCAATTTTTTACGTTTAACGTTATATTCGTTCGGTACACTTCGGTGCACACGTGTACCGAACCGAAGGGCCCGTACCGAATAATTTCGGTACGGGTACGTGTACCGTTACACCCTTAGTAAACACCGACCATATTACGTCCAAAACAGTCGGGCATTGTTTCTAAAGCCAGCCCACATTTCAGATATTACGTCATATCGGACGCAAATCTGGATCAGCTCCGTTGTAGCCCCGTTTTTAGAGATTTGGGTACGGAGGAAAAGAGAGAGGGTTTTATTTTCTGACGCTTCGTGAGTTCCCCGACACACCGGGGACACATTTATGTAAAAAATACATCAAAAAGTGCATTTTGCATGATAGGACACCTTTAAATTAAACATTACATTTGATTGTTTGATTGTTTGATTGACATCGGCAGTAATGAGTGTTTGTACCAGATGTGTCTCAACTCACACCGGCTCCACCAATCTCAATTAGCCAACCCAGGCCTGAAGATTGTTCCTGATCAATGCATGAAGAGATTGCTGCTCGGATTGTAAATGAAGAGGTTTGGCAAGAAGCCTTTGTGCTTGATCCTTTGCTGCTTGAAGGAATGAAGGGTGAGAGGTGTGAAGATGAGAGAAATGGATGAATGGAGGCAGAAGGGGAGGTGCAGAGGAGAGGGAGGTGTTGAAGGAGCCTCATTAATCAGCAGAGATGCAGCCGGACAGCAGGTTTAATTGAGTTGTTTATCTGACCCGCCATCTTCTCTCTCCGTCTCACTCTCTCACATGCAAACACTCGTAAAAAGGTTGGAGAACACAGCCTGGGTCGGTTCAAACGAATGCCAATGGCCAGCTGGGTAATTTTAGTAATTCAATCAGCTGATGTGATCAAATTGGACGGGCGGTGGAATTGCTCTCCTTCTGATCTTTGAGGGACACGATTGGAGCGAAGTTTGGAGGGAACAGTTGAAGTTTGAGCGGACTGAGATGAAGG